GAGTGAGTTGCCGGGGGGGCGGACGAACTCGCTGCCGGCCGCCTGGGATGTGGAGGGACAGCTGCCGTCCGTAAGGGAGCGGAGGAGTCGCCGCCGTTCGCCGGAGGCCGGAGCCTGCTGCCATCCGCCATGATGGGAGGAGCAGGGAATGGGGGACTCCTGCTGGCTGCCCGAACCTGCTCCGGAAGGATAAAGGAGGAGTGACTACAGTGTTGGACGAGAGAGGACCAGGCCTGGAGTTTATTTTGTGTTTTGGTTTTGTTTGTGCGCGACAGTCGTCCGCGAGGGGCTGTCGCGCTATTTTGTGTTTGTTTATTTTATTAAAATCTTTAATGTTCGCCGGTTCCCGTTTCCTTCTTCCCGTGACTACGAACTGTGTTACATATCCCTTTAAAGGTTTTTATGCTGTCTATATTGGCTGTATCCAGCAAGGCAGCTCACTAGTTTTTGGAACAGAGCCTACATGTGCTTAACCGTACAGATCTAGTGTAGCCCTGATTATTTTTAGTCATAACAGCTGTTGATTGGCCTAGTTTTGAAGGCGTTGAGAAGTTGTGCAGCAAGTGCTCAAATTGCGTTACAGTTTATATTTGACTAGCACGTTTTCTACACAACAGTGTCTACAGAGATATGGATATGAAATACCTTCTTTATCACAACGAAGGAACAACCATAAAAGACAATATGCTAAACAGTTCATCAGAAGGGCATTATTTTGCTTAAAATGAGAGTATGTGTGTGTCAAACAAAAACATATCCATTTGTCATTTTCCAGCTAAATTCTCATTACCGCAAGGCAAAAAATGATCTCATTCTCATTAGCGTTAATCTGCCTCAACTGTAATTCACATACTGTGCAGTTTGCCTACTATATACTGTAGCAACAGTATATGCTACTATGTACATAGTCTAGGAGAGACGTGTGCACTAGCATAAGGGCGAGAGACAAGTACACAAGTACAGAATGAGAAGTAGAAAAGAAAAATACATCACAGATCATTCTCACCATTCCATCCACCAGCGCCAGCCCAAGACCATGAGGTCCTTTCATCAGCTCTACGGTGAACACATCATCTCGATCATCCTCATCTTCCTCTGTTCTTTGGTCTTTATTTCCTGCGATGCCATTCTCTACTGAGAAAACTAAATCAAACACATCACATTATCAGCTCAGGGTCTTCTCTAGTTCAGAAGCACAAGCAAATCAAATGTCACTGAATTTCCAGGTCATACATCACCTCATATTCAGAAAGAAGAAATTATATTTAGCATGAAGAACATGAAAGTTGTTTTTAGGATTATGAAGATCACTATAATTGTGATTATTTCATGACAGTCAGAATGAAATCAGAATTGAAGGTCCTATTGGAAAAATCCAAATCTCCCCATAAACAAGTCAACTGACAGATGCCGATTTTCACAGCAGGTTTGGTTTGTCATAAACATCAGTCAGTTCTGCATATTGCATATGATACGCAAGTATGAACACTGATTTTATGACATCTTTTCATGTTCCCATAAAGATCTTCTGCTCTGGGCTGGTGGAAACACAGGGTTTTCCTCCAGCGCTCGGCCAAGGGTTTTCCCCCAGCGCTCGGCCCCCCGGCCAGCGTCCTGAACAATGCCCGTCCCGATTAAGATTCCAGCCAGCAAGCCAACTGTAAATTCCCATGATCCTTTATCCACTGCTCTTTTTTCTCCTGACATCACCACCTCTCTGTAATTCCTGAACCAGATTATAGGATTTGTGCCACAACCAAAAAAAGCAGAGTCCCTTGATAAGGAAAATCCACACTAGTCTTTAGAAAGACGAGGCGGGAAACCAATGGGAACAGGATGCCACATGTAGAGCTTTACCACTCTTAATCTATATGTATTTTAAATGTACAAATGTCCATATTACTGTACGTTTGAGTGTAGAAATGATTTTAGTTCATACTGTACTTTATTTTATAACAGTTTCAGCTCTACATTCTGACTGAACTGCATTTGAAGCTGCCAATTTGCTTGGCGGCATAAAGAGTCATACAGTTGAAAACATATACTCATTGTTTCTTGTGAATGTGCATCAGATATCTACGCAAAGTCAAGATTATTTAGGAATGACGTTTTTTTGTTGCTTCATAAAATTGGGTTTCAACCACTGGAGTCAGAAGGATTACTTTTATGATGCTTTTATGACCTTTTTGGAGCTTGACTGTTTTGGTGGAATGGAATTTCAGTGGAGGGATAGAGATCTCTCAGGTTTCATTAAAACTACCTTAAAATTGTGTTTCAAAAATGAACAAAAGTCTTATGGGTTTGGAACGACGGGGTGAATAAATGGTGACAATTTTCATTTTTGGGTGAACTATGCTTTTAATCTTATGAATTACGCTTACACGACTTATAATTTTTTTGTTATAATTATATATGATGTTGCAATTATACTGAATATTGGCATCATTCATCTTACTCTTGCAGCTGCTGTATTATAAATGCAAAAACGTTACTGAAGGCTGTGTGCCACAGTTAAAATAAATTCACTATTTTACCATGGTTAAAAAAACATGCTAATATATATATTTTTTTCAAGTTTATCATGTTGTTAAAAAGCTGTGTGCCACAGTTAAAATAAATTCACTATTTTACCATGGTTAAAAAAACATGCTAATATTTTTTTTTTTTTTCAAGTTTATCATGTTGTTAAAACAACTTTTTACCAGTATAATTTCCTTGTACTTTTGTACTTCGTACAAGTACAACTATATATTAAGTTGAAGTCTAACTCTTTTCCTATACAAATTCTTCCATCCAAAAACATAAACCCCCCCCAAACATACCATGGTATTACCATGTGGGTTTTTTTTTTTTTTTTGACATGCACAATGGTTTTCCCAGGGTATATTCTCTGAAGTACCATGGTATATGAAAATGGCAGTCATCCATTAGTATGGAATTATCATCACTGAACCATAGTACTATTTGCATACTTTGAAAGATGAAAACATGAAAGATTTGTGTTTATTGCTTTCCAGTGCTGTAAAAATGTATGATCCGTTTTATGATTTCATCATGGAAATCATTTCTCGTCATTGATGAAACAGCAAGAGTTATTATTGTTTTCCTACAAATGTCTCTACAATAGATTTTAGAGAGCTTCATCTTGGGAGTCATATTTAGGCCAAGGCATCATTTTGATTGCTTCATTTCCAATAACGATTCATTTAGTAATTCTAAGTAAGAAATAAAGTGCTCAGGAATGCCAATTCTGAATATTCACCTGATCCCAACACCAGTTTCAAAGACTCACTCTTGAACCCTTGAACACTCTTGAAGTTCTACAGTGACCTCATCTGACCTTTGCTCATTGTATAAATATATTATGTGTGGGAGAGCATTCTGGAGAGGAGGAGGGCTGGTTTCCTCGTGCAGCCAGAGCACACAAACCCAACTCCACATCAACACCAGCACCTCCCATACGCCTCCAAAGACAATACACCCTGCCTTTGAAATCAGGGAACACGCTATGGGATGAACATGAGATATTTCTCAGAGTACAGCTGACAAACAAACAGAAGATGACTAGTAGTAGTGCTCAAGTAGGTTTAAATCTTTGTAAAACTATATGCATATGCAAGAAACATTGTATTTTCCCATTTTTTGTTTTTCACCAGAATCTGGTGGAGAGAAGCAGATTAACGTATGTTTTGGTGTCTGCTTGGTCATGGTGAAGTGATGTTACCTTTCCTGTGCTGGCGTACCGTCTGCTGGGCCGCCCCCTCCAGCAGACTGGCTTCAAGTTCGGCTTGGTCAAGACTCTGAGGGGTGTTGGGAGGCGTCAGCAGGCAGGAGGGGTCGAGAGCCAGACTTTTGTGGTAGCCCAGGTCTGTATTCCCAGACAGGCTGTTTTGGAGCTCCAGGCACTTGAGTTTCTGGGTCAGGATGGCCTCACACGAGCTCAAGTTACTGTGAGACCCCCGAAACTGAGGTGGTGTCATGCTGACATGTTGGTGATCCTTTGACTTTGAGTCTTGGCAGGTGATTGGTTCAGATGCTGTCTCTTCTGTCAAGTTACTGCAGGAGCCCTGAATGCATCCGAAATGTAAAAAATAATTATCAGCCCGTATTTCAGGTCATTTCATTTATTTGTATAGCACTTTTCACAATACACAACATTTCAAAGCAGCTTTATAGAAAGTCATGCAGTTAATAATGCATTAGCGCTTTACCATAGAGCAAGTTTTAGGGCTGGGCGATATGACAACAAATAACAATTATTAGAGGGATCCTTCAGATTTAGATCTGGCTATATTGTATTTATAGTGTTGTCTAGTGGAGATATCAGAGAGTGCTGAAGCGACTCGGATACACGTCTGAGCGTTCAAAGATTTTAATATTGGTCAGTTCTGTTCTATTAAGAGATTTAAATGTTGGTAGATTTTGTTCTATTAAAGGGATAGTTCACCCAAAAATGAAAATTCTGTCATTAATTACTCAACCTCATGTCGTTCCAAACCTGTAAGACATACGTTCATCTCCGGAACACAAATTAAGATATTTCTGATGAAATGTGAGAGCTCTCAGACCCTGTATAGACAGCAATACAACTGTAATGTTCCCAGGTCCAGAAACGTAGTAAGGACATCGGTAAAACGGTCCATGTGTCATCAGTGGCTCAACTTCAGTTTTGTGCTCCAGATAAAAAATGCTGCTGGGCAGGATTAGAGGAGGATGGTTGTCGAAACTTTCCAGGATATTAGCTAAGAGAAAAAAAACATTTTTGTTGTCAAGCACTCAGGCAGAGGAACAGATAATCTCAGTAAACTAACGACATCACTTGAGCCTAATCTTTTAAAATAAATTAAACAATCAATCACTTCACAATATGTTTAAAAACAGAAAAGGTTCTTTATACTGACAAAGCTGTTGGTATAATAGATTTGGAAATGACAATGGTTAAATATTGGACATTGTATCATTCAGTTACAGGATGAAGTGTGTGTGAATTCATATTTGGGCTCACAGGTATTGAGGGCAGCCGCTGAATCCTCTGGAGATGGCGTCCAGCACGGAGGGCATGTCAGAGCTGTGTTGTACTCTCTCAGCATGTGATGCAGCTGTGCAGGGTTCAGATGAACAAACTCAGCTCTCAGAGTGGACCATGAAGCCTGTAAACACATATATAGATGCATAGAAGAATGAATCTGCAAGGGGCCTGGTTGTGATTGGGTCAAAAATTCACACATAAAACTAGTTTTTGGGATAAACTGTACTGAGCTCAGTGAGTAATGGCAATTTCAAATCACTCCATGCACAGATTTCTCAGCATGGCTAACTCTATTCAGGATATAAGCATTGAACGTAAGTGTTGGTGCAAACCTGCTATCAGTTGGTGTGAACATTCACAGATCACACAAATCAATTTAGATGAAAGCTGTGTATAGTCTATATAACAATGACATGCCATGTTCTCTAATAATATCACCTAAAGGGAGTATGTACAAGGAAAAAACCAAAGGACCTAAGACTGAGCCTTGTGGAATACCCTTCTTTAGCATCGGAGCATCACATTTTACACAGTCACATTTTCACAAACTAACTGGTAGAATCTAAAGTAGGATAGTGCCTGTTTAGAAATGTTTACACAATATAGAATATTGTTGTGTTCTATATCGTCAAAAGTGGCACTAAGTTCAAGTGAAACAAGCAGAGAAATGCAACTCTGGTCAAATATCATGTAGTCTCAGTTCATTTCTATGCAATAATGATAATAATAGGGCGGACACACCTGTTTCTAGTATTTTTGATAAAGAATTTTAAATAGGTATACAATTATTTTGCAAGGCAAACCTGCTATCAGTTGGTGTGAACATTCACAGATCACACAAATCAATTTAGATGAAAGCTGTGTATAGTCTATATAACAATGACATGCCATGTTCTCTAATAATATCACCTAAAGGGAGTATGTACAAGGAAAAAACCAAAGGACCTAAGACTGAGCCTTGTGGAATACCCTTCTTTAGCATCGGAGCATCACATTTTACACAGTCACATTTTCACAAACTAACTGGTAGAATCTAAAGTAGGATAGTGCCTGTTTAGAAATGTTTACACAATATAGAATATTGTTGTGTTCTATATCGTCAAAAGTGGCACTAAGTTCAAGTAAAACAAGCAGAGAAATGCAACTCTGGTCAAATATCATGTAGTCTCAGTTCATTTCTATGCAGTAATGATAATAATAGGGCGGACACACCTGTTTCTAGTATTTTTGATAAAGAATTTTAAATAGGTATACAATTATTAATTTTGCAAGGGTACATTATATCTGACAACACATGCCTTGCTTTGACAAGCAAACTCTATTCTCGAACAAGCAAAACATAATTAAAATACCACAAAGGAAATACAGCCAAAACACTTAAACAAAGGAGAACTCCCCAAACAACACTCAACATTTATGTTTTCATTCTCCTTCAGTGGTGTCTTAAGAATAGCCGATCTTAATAACAGAGTAGTGTTTTCCTCTGTGTCATTTTGAATCCAGAACAAAACAACATCCAGAACTTGTATGTAATTAAACCAGTCTCTTCACAAAATTTAGGAAACAGCAGCTGGGAATGAACATCATACAAACTCACAACTCAATATGTAAGACAATCTTTTAAGGGTTGCGTACATTTTACAGATAATTGCATTTACCAATTACATATACATCTAAGTAATGAAATGGTCTAGGATGAATGTAGTGGGAAAGTTTTAGCTGATGCATAGACATTTTTGAGAAAAGCCTCAAACATGTGATGGGTGGTGTCACATAAGTCTGGAAAAGCTGTGAGACAGACTGAAGTCAAAACACAGTCATGCTGTTGCTTTCAACCATGTGCATTAGAAGAATGATAAATATTTAATGAAGTCAGGTCTGATATAAGGTACCTGTTTTACTGATCTGACACAAGTTTTGAGTATAACTGGAATATAAAAAGGATATAAAAGTACCCAATCCCATGAGTATAGCAGTTCTAGATTTTGGATACATCAAATTTCAGATGTTCCTCCTGAGCTTCCTTAAACATAGAAACAAATGAGACAATTGACAATGAATGTGGATAGCAGGCCAGATCATCTTGAATGAATTTGAAGAGAAATGTTTAAGATCTCTGATTTTGTTTGCAGACTTGACAAACCTAAGAGCACAGTCTGAGACACTGTTGAGGGACACATTTACTGGATTGTTTTCTTAAGCAAATGTCTATATTTACTTTTCATTTGATCTCATTGCTGTCTAAAAGAAATAACTGAGACATTAAGGATATGTCATGTTGTGATTTTTCTTTGCTATGGACACCCACAAGCAACAGTCTGGGCTGAAGAGTCCGAATGGCTGTCCCAGAATGGATGTAAAAGGGGAAAAGACATCTGAAACTATGTGCAGAAATGGTTGTTTTACAAACCACAAACTGTGACCTCATGCCATGGGTGGAACCTTAACAACCAGTCTCCTGGTAACTGTGAAATGCCACCATTGCTTGTTGACGGGATAGAGGAAGTTAACATTCAGTAATTGCACACTGGATGATCCTGACAGACATATGTGGTCTCATTTGTCTCGACAAGTGCTACATGTGCTAATATTATTAGCTAGAACAGTACAGTTCCTCAAGACAAACTTTAATGTTGGCTAAAGTTGTAGAGAACTTTAAAATAGTTTTATTGAAAAAACCTTGAAGTCTGAAGGTTAAATCACCCTTGTGTAGTCTATTTAAGATCTATACAGCATTATGGTTGAGGTAGATTTAGCGATTGCTAAATTGCTAAAACTCAGTGTTCTGAGTAGTTGGTAGGGTGTGCTAGGCTGTTGCTAACATTCTTATAGCCAATTGCTAAAATGTTCCGAGTTGTAGAGTGTTGTGTTGTATTACTATATGACTGCTAAGCAGTTACTGTGGTAGCTTTAGGCTACGATTACACTGATTTACACTACTTTTGCTACGGTTACGCCTGTCGTTTACACTACTCTGGCGTTTTCAACCCTCGAAAACGGAGACTTTCGAAAACGCTGCAGAACCCATTTTGGTTTGAAAACTCTGGGGTTGCGTTTCAGTGTAAACGGAGCAAAACACACACACACACACACACGGTCTAGATGCAAACGTTCAAATATTTAAATTCACCTGAAGCTCAAATCGGATCTGAAAAGCTTGCGTATGCATATGATCAGACCTCCACGCAGCTCCTGTTCTACCCTACATTAATAATCATCTTGCATACTATGTTAGAAATGGCTGAAGGACTGTACTGAGTTTGGTGAATTAGAGTCTGTCATTTTAATAACAGAGAAACACCCTTAATTCTATTGGGACTGAAATGCTACTTTAGAAAAACTCACTTCATTTACAGTTTCACACTGTTAAAAGTGCATTTATGGATGACGGCAGAATGTAAGATAAATAAACAGAGCGGTCATGTGAGAGTGAGTCATGTATGTGTTTGTTTGGAGCGAGTTTAAAGTAAACTCAGCTCACTCAAGACAGTGAGATCACACTAGCCCCTCCCACCCAGAGCTGTAATGCGGCTCTCGCGTCTGCTGTGTGACACTCTGACAGCTTAAGAGCCTTAAAGGTCAAAGTTCACCTACTGAGACCAAGAGCCACGGCCACCAGCTGAACGACAGTCAGACTCAACTGCCGTGAGCCGCTTCACGAGACCTGTAAACCCCCTACGGCACAGGATGAGTTTGGGTGGTGTGCAGTAAATTTTGTACTGTCCTCTGTTATTGTGCCTTTGTTTTATGGTATGATAAGCTAAGAGAAACTCATTTCCTTATGGACAAAAGACTAAACAATGCATTCCCCACTATCAATGGCTTCTCAAGGAAGTTAACAGGTTTAGGACCAGACAAACAGCTGGTTTGAGTTCTTCTATTTCCTGTTCATCCAGGCACTAAAGTCTCTCCTGCTTGCGGCGCGCCGTCTACATTGTGATTTACAAAGTGATTCAACTTTGATGACTGAGCTGAATAATGCATATTATTTAGGATTATATGACAGACAGACCGTTCGCGGATGAATCCATCGGCATGTTCTGACAAGCTCAACGGGGTTTTATTTATGTGATGTACGGAAAAATGGCATGACTCAAGATGTAAATATGACCTTTGTCATGAGATTCGTGCTATCATGCGGTTTTATTGAATTAACCTGATACCTCAGGCAATGCTGTTGGCTTATGAAACAGGTTTGGTCAGCGATTCTTGAAACATCACAACATTTTTATAGTCCTAGTCACTGTTTGATGACCAATAAAAGGGCTTTATCAGGATTCCTATAACTGATATTCACACCTGTCCAATCAGCAGTCAAAAACAAGTTATTCATCAAAGGGAAATTGAACAGAAAATGCAGGGATGTTCTAACACCATTTTTGACACACCAAGTACAGTACGAGATTTCTTTTGGTAGTCATCCATACTCAGGGTTCCCACACTTCATGACCAATGTATTTTCTCTCTAGTAAATTGTGATCATCTGATAAGTGCATTTAAAAATGATGAATCATTTATACTGATTTGTGAACTGGTTTGACTAATTCAATAAAAGCAATTCAAGTAAACACTATGGCTTTGGCTTGCAAGCAACTTTTACTCTACACAAAAGCAATATCTAACTGATGGAATATTTCAGAGTATAACAACAAAAATGTATAGGTAACACGTTACAATAAGGATCCATTTGTTGACATTAGATAACTACATAAGTTAACATGAACTAACAATGACAAATAAGAGGTGGAGGTACTGGTTTGCTTATCTCTAATGATTGGAAATGTAATCCTTTACCATCTTTGTGCATCAACAGCTCCTTTGAATCTCATTCAGTTACTATTACCTATCCAGTCTGTAGTTGTTTATCGACCCCCAGGAGATCACTTCCTCCTCACTCTTAACCTCAACATGGTTCTTGACACAACACATACCCCTCCACATGTCATCTTTCGACATAACCTACGCTCACTTTCAACCTCCCGGCTATCTGCTATGGTTTCATCTTCGCTTCCTTCACCTAAACTGTTAGCATCTTTTTATGCTAACAGTGCTACTGATACTTTCTGCTCCACTCTTACGTCTTGTTTAGACACTGTCTGCCCCTTGTCTTCCAGAGCAGCCCGTACCACCCCTTCTGCCCCTTGTCTATCTGATGTTCTCCGCGAACATCGTTCTAAGCTCAGGGCTGCTGACGCAATGCATTTGAATGCAATGAAACAAAATTCTCATCAATCAATCAATCTTCTCATTAGGATGCATTATTAATCTTAATGGTCTTAAAAACGTAAAGGCTTCAATACTGTCTTCAAAATATCCATTTACAAAATGTACAAATATTGTTATTATTATGGCAATTTGCTCTGCTGTGCGTTTATTAAATTGAATGTTGTTTTTATTCTGTATAGTTAAGTGTTTTTTGTTTTTTTTTGGTGCAAGAGCATTTTATTGTGTATGAGTACATGAGCATGGCAGCAGAATTGCAGAATAAAGGCACATCTCTAGTGCAATACATTTGTAAATACTTTGTATTTGTATCTGTGTAAGCATTTGTGAAGCAGTTCAAAGGGATTCTGACCTGCAGTAGGGTCTCCTTGGGAGTTGCGAGCAGGTTGACGGCAGAAGAGAGTCTCTGGAAGAAGTCAGCAGCCAGATCTCCCATGCCAATGCTCTGAATCCAGTCCATCAGCAAATCCAGATTGGCCCGGATCTGCACTCCTCTAGACCACTGGTAGAAGCCACCTCCAGACCCTTAAAAACATCCATATCAATATTTATTCAGAAGTCTCAATCAGTGCAAGAGGTAGCATGTTATTCATTATAGTTTTGCAGTAATTGTCAAAAGTCACTATCTCACAAAAAGTCAAAAGCTCAATTCAAACTAAAACATTTTGTCATAAATTTGTCCAGCTCTAGCAGACTGTTAGTCTATACAGACTAGCAGACTGTTTTAATGAAACAAGTCCTCAGAAGGACCTTCAGTGCATGTGCTCACCTCTCTCCATGAGCGTGTTGAAGAGCGAGGCGTTGGTGAAGAAGAACAGGTAGGTCAGCAGTTGAGATGTGATCTCGCTGTGCACCTGGAAAGTGTTGAGCAGGTGCAGTGCCTCCTTCAGGACAAGGATCATGCGACACTGAAGACTGGAGTAATGATGCTGAAAATTGAGAAATAAATTACATTTTAAAATATATTCAAATAGAAAACAATTGTTGTAAATTGTAATAATATTTCAAAATATTACTGTTTTACTGTATTTCTGATCAAGTAAAATGCAGCCTTGGTGAGCATTAAAAAAATCTTACCACTCCAAACTTTAGTGTGGCAGTGTATATGTATCAATATCGGAATATATATTTATATTTATAAATCCTGAATGTTTAGCTGAATACATAATATGTAACTCTAAAAATCTGTAAGGATTCTGTAAACAAATAAGACCAAGCAGATAAACTGTGCCAGACGGGAACTCAGGCAAGGCTGAGAGACTAGCGGGAATGTATTTTTATCACAGAGTTCACAAAAACACAGCATACTGATCCAAAACCCTGAAATAAAGGAACAAAATCATACAGCATTCATCAGGAAGTTGGTTCTTCTAAAAGTTCTGGCAAGAGATTATATGACCATCCACTGCAAATGAAACATCAGATTTCAAACTAAAGGTGTGGCCACATTTGCAGAATACCAATATTAAACAGGCAAAAAAACACTATTGCATGAATTTTATTTGCAAGCCTGAAATACACTAGAACTCTTATTTTGAAATGTATAGGCTCTACTTTTTAAGTCTCTGCTATGCTGACTGATCATTTAAACGGATGCGGGTGATGAAAATATGCACTCTTACGATTGTCTTAAAATATTCACACCATAAAGTAAACATTGCCATAAATCATCAACAGTCGATCATAAGCAATTGGCGTAAATGTGCAGTTTTTGTTGATTGCGAACGGCTCTGAAACATTGAGTCTGTAGAAAGCGCAACAGCGCTACATTTTTACTTTAAAATGTGCATTGCTCATATTTATTTAATTAAATCATAGCCTTTTCAAGTTTAATAACATTAGGCAGTTTTGCAATAAAATATGCACTCTTACGATTGTCTTAAAATATTCACACCATAAAGTAAACATTGCCATAAATCATCAACAGTCGATCATAAGCAATTTGCATAAATGTGCATTTTTTGTTGATTGCGAACGCCTCTGAAACATTGAGTCTGTAGAAAGCGCAACAGCGCTACATTTTTACTTTAAAATGTGCATTGCTCATATTTATTTAATTAAATCATAGCCTTTTCAAGTTTAATAACATTAGGCAGTTTTGCAATTTCTGTTCTTCAATCCCCAAATTAAAGACCTCTTAAAATAATTAAAGGGGTCATATATGCAAATATACAACAGAGAGAGAAGTAAATTTAGCGTTTTTATTTCCAACATGCGCTCATTCATGGCTGTATTATTTAATTAATGCAAAGTTACGTCTTTATTGGGAGAGGATTTGACGGCAACAGCGCTACATTTTTACTTTAAAATGTGCATTGCTCATATTTATTTAATTAAATCATAGCCTTTTCAAGTTTAATAACATTAGGCAGTTTTGCAATTTCTGTTCTTCAATCCCCAAATTAAAGACCTCTTAAAATAATTAAGAGATTTTGTATACAATTTAAGATATTTAAGACTTAAATTTCCTAAAACTGAGGGACTTTTTTTGTCGCAAATGCGAGTGAAATGCTGAAATTTTGGTGAAAATAAGGTTCTTTGTCTATTGTCAATAGTGAAGTGATGTATGAAATGGCTCACCATCACTATGACCATCCATTGCGAATAAAAATTTATTTCAATGTAAAGGTGCGATTACAACTAGTGATCGACCGATATTGATATTTTATAACCGATACCGATACCAATTATTTGCGTGTTTATGTGCCCGATAACCGATATGCATAACCGATATTTATTTACTGTTATAAAGTAAATAAATGACTGAGTTAAGTAAGTCCAAACTTCACTTTGGTTTTTCCTCCTTTCAGTCATCTTAAAAAAAAATAAAGTGTTGAAAATTACCAGTCTTTCATGTTAAATTCAATCTTCATATTACAATAAAAACACATTTTATTTAAAGCATCAGCAGCAACACTAATATTAACAATAAGCAAAATAAATGTAGAAGGTCTAATGTTT